GCTATAGGCTTAGACTGCTGGAGGACACACTGACCACTTTTCACACACTACTACTTTCTTCTACTATCTGCTCTTTAACTGTATTATTTTCTATTTCAGCTGTTAACTTTATTTTCTCTCTAAGTGTTTTTCTCCCCAGAAGAAGCTACAACGATGTTCTGCTGAGCTGTGGTGGCCTCATGGAGGGGGCCATCGTCTAGCACACTGCTGCTAACCACTTAAACATTCTCCCTCTCCTGATAATAACTTTTTGCTTTTCTTGATGTGCGATGTGCTACTACTAGTTTACCCGTTTAATTATAGATCCACTAGGATAAATACAATAAAGTTTATCTCTCACCAAATAGAATATTTACTAAGAAATCACAATATAAGTATAGACACATTACTCGTGTGTGCGTGTGTGTGTGTGTGTGTGTGTGTGTGTGTGTGTGTGTGTGTGTGTGTGTGTGTGTGTGTGTGTGTGTGTGTGTGTGTGTGTGTGTGTGTGTGTGTTCTCCATCCCCAGTGAGTGGTGGAGGATGGCTGCTTATACTGAGCCAGGATTCTCTGGAGGTTTCTTCCTGTTAAAAGGGAGTTTTCCTCTCCACTGTCGCTTTATGCTTGCTTAGTAAGGATTGCATCGTCAGTGAATTGATGCAATTTGCTGGGTTCCTTATATAGGAAACATTACTTCTGATTGGCTTAATGAACTGACCTGAATTGGAATGCTTATTATGTGAAGTGCCTTGAGACGACTCTTGTCGTGATTTGGCGCTATATAAATAAACTTGAATTGAATTGAACTTAGAGGTGTCCTCCATGTTAAGGGTTTCGTTTATTTTTTGTAAAAACCTCTTTCCATCTGCTTCAGCGAGTCGGAATGGCATCATCCACACAACCTCACTCTGAAGGACTTACCATCATGTGGGGTCACCGGCTTTGGTGCAGGTTACCAAGAGCTCAGGGGTCTCATTTATCAAACATGGCGTAGAATCCTTACTAAAACCGTACTTAAGCTCAGCAAAAAAAATGTACTTACAACAAGTAGGTTTGTGATCTATCAAACATGGAGTACGCACAGCTGCACGCAATCTCCACTTCACAAATCAGAAACTATCTAGAATGTTTCTCAGCTGCTTTTTAGTCACATCCCACCCTCACCACGTCCACTTACTGCCATAAATAGTCAATGCAAAGTGCCTTGTGGATCTCATGCATATACATAAGCCGGCTGTTGCAACGCTCCGCCAATGATGTGGCGACCGTAGATCAAGGCAGATCAAGGAAGCGCAATTTCACAAGCAGAAGTTGAGGTGCCTGTGGGTGAGGTGGAGAAATGAAAGGAAGTGCTTTTGCAAAACAAATAAGAGAAAATCCACCGAGTGGCACAGCGTTGCTGAAGCCGTCAATGCTGAGTTCTTCAGAGAGATCTGTGGCGGATGTAAAAAAATGATCCAATCGGGATTTGATCCCCAGACTCTCGGGTGAAAGTTACATGTGCTAACCAGTCACCCAAACAGAGATCTCCCTGTCCAAGTAGCCAGGGTGCATCATCAATCGGGTCACAGTGACAGGACACACACACACACACACACACACACACACACACACACACACACACACTGTCACAGACGCATGATGTTCTGTCTCAATCTGTCCCCCTGCTGATATTCTGCATTCCGTATTCTGCACTTCAGGCTTTGTGTGTGCGTGTGTGAGAGTGTGCGCGCATGTGTGTGTACGCCATCGACATAAATATGCGTGCGTGTGTGGGGGGTCTTGTTCTGTGTGAACAGGAAGCGGTACAAGTGATAATGCTGCAGGATTTCATAATTGTATCTTCTCAGCAGCAGCACTGCAGGTGCTCTCCATGTCCAACATGTGTGTAAGCCACGTCCTTAGTCAACTTAAAGTTGCGCACATTTTTCCGCTAAGTTTTCTTTCATAAATCCCAAAGTTTACGTGGAAAGTTGCTTACGCAGTTTTCCGACCCTGTTTTGTGCGTAAGCAAGCTTGATAAATGAGGCCCCTGAACGTTTTAGAGTGTACACAGAAATCTGAGAGCTCTGTACAAGACGAATGACTGAGACCATCATCGTTTGCTTTCCATATCGGATCGTTCCCGAGCGGGAGACGAGCTGCGGACAGTCCGTCTCATTTAATTGCTTGTTTGGGAGGAATTTTAATTGAATTCCAGTCGGAATTTGTCTAAATTGAATTGCGGCTCAGGGCGGAGCAGGAGCCGTGGTGGGGGGGAGGGAAGAAAAAGGGAAAACGGCCAGACTCTGGAGCCTTACAACAAGCTCAAACAGGAAGTCATTCAACACACAACCAGAGCAAAAAATCTCAGACGAGCACACATGTGCTCACAAGCCAAAACACGGAAGGAGTCGAGTCGGAATGCATTCCTGCTGCTCCTCCTCCCCCACACGTGACTCAGTGTGTGTGTGTGTGTGTGTGTGTGTGTGTGTGTGTGTGTGTGTGTGTGTGTGTGTGTGTGTGTGTGTGTGTGTGTGTGTGTGTGTGTGTGTGTGTGTGTGTGTGTGTGTGTGTGTGTGTGTCTTCATTTGTCTAAAAGTCACTCAGAAGCAGGTTTTGTTGGGAGAACAAACAACGATCAACAAAAGACTGGAGCTTAAAAGAGAACTGAGGATCATTTTTTGGAAGCGTCTGGAGGAGGACACGGAGAAGCAGAGGCGTCAAACGACTTAAACAAACTGCTCTGCCCTCAGGCGCCGTGTGTGTGACCTGTTCACCACAACAGGTCCTTAAAGGAGGATTTCAAGTTTCTGCGACAGTGTCTGTGTCATCTGGAAACCTCGGAGTCGTAAACCCCCGCGAAAACGTTCCCCCCGGTGACACTACCGCACGTTTCACGTCTGAAACGCAGAAACAGGGAAAACCCGCAATTTGGCCTAAACTAGCCTTGCTGCACATTCAGCTCTGACCAGTTTATGAACAGCTGGAAAGCTTTTCTGCATCACCTCAAAAGTCAACATTTCCTTATTGTTTTTAAATAAAGCTAGATTCAAACAGGGGTTGCCGCATTTATTAGTAATGAAAAGCGTATTTGCTCATGGGGAACATGTGGGATGGAGGGGGAGAGAGCGTGTTCGTGTTTCTGTTCACACACTTCATCAGCGGCATGAGCATTTCCTGGGAATTCCCTTTGAGAGAGAAACAGAAAGTTTGTGTGTGAAAGAAAGCGGAAGAGGAAAGGAGATCAGAAGTGGACGACGTCCAAACTCCTCTCTGGAAGATCAGCAGACAAACACAACAAGGATGTGTGTGGTTGGTTCATTTTCACCTGAGGCACGTGGTACAGGTGTAGCTCACACTCAGCCACTGCAATCTTTTCAAAATAAAAGCATGATTGCATCCTGGCCTGGGAAAAGCACCCATCTCGCTAGGCTGACTTTTGTTTTGTTTTTTAATACGACAATGGATTGCAGCTAATTTTCTAATCCTGAGGTGTCCTAATTGTGTCTGCTCACAAATTGAACACCAGCTCCTCCTCAAGGTTTGCACCGTGAGGCGACGGTTCACACGGGATCACCAGAGCTGGACCAGAAGAGATTGGAAAATGTTTCCTGGTCTGATGAGTCTGGATTGCATCTGCAATATTCAGATGGCCAGGTCAGAATCTGGTGTCACCAACATGAAAACACGGATCCATCATCCCCTGGTCCCTCTTTGGACCACTCAGCACCACCCAAGCCTAGTTTTAGCCTACTGTCTAATGTTGCTGACCATCCCTTTATGGACCCATCCTCTGATGCCACTTTCAGCAGGATCATGCACCATGTCACAAAGCTCAGATCATCTCTAACTGGTTTCTAGAGCATAAGCATGACTTCACTGGACTCCAGAGACCTCCACAGTCACCAGATCTGAGTCCTGTCCACGGTGGTGGTGATGGGGGGGGGGGGTCTTTACTGTATGTTCTAATGGGAAACAGGCTTCAACATAAACGGTTGTTTTCTGCTTGGTCCTAGAGCTCAACCAGTGTCAATTTAAAATAGTGTAATATTGTTTTTGGATGGTAAAAAGTGCAGGGGTCAAAACTTGACTTTGGAAAAAGTGGGGGGGGGGGGGGACATGTCCCCCCTATCCCCCCAAAATTTACGTCATGTATATATGGACCAGAGCCTCTAAACGACGTTTCCAGCACCTTGTTAGATCTTTGACATGAAGATAGTTCTGAAGGCAAAATGGCATTCAGTCACTTTTTGGCACTAGACCTCCAGTCCTCATCCAAAGCCAAAGTCCAATGACAACATATCCAGATGCTCCAGACACAACCGTCCACTATGAATCCTGCAGTTGAGCCATTCAGTTAATCATTGATAGGTTCACACTCTCACACACACACACACACACACACACGCCCACACACAGACACACACACGCACGCACGCACACACACAGACACACACAGGTCATATTCATGGTAAGCAGACACGCTTCTACACAAGCGGAAGGTGAAATAGAGAAGCAAGACGAGTTGCGGCAACAAGAGAAAACACCCTGTCGGTCCCCGCCATGCGGAAGCATGCATTCTGCAGCCCCTGCCTCACAAGTTTCTAAAAGTCCCACGTCCCCTGAACACATCCTGGTGAGACAGGTGCGTTCAGGTCTCGTGAAGGACAAAAAGACCTGAGAGGAGAAAGAAGGTGGCAGAGGGCGTTTGAACTGAACCGGAGCGTGAAGGGAACCGGCTTGACAAGAATACAGCCCCGCTGGCAGTTACAAGGGACTTTTCCTTCCATTTAGAGGGTCTGATTCTCACACACACACACACACACACATACACACACACACACACACACACACACACACACACACACACACACACACACACACACACACACACACACACACACACACACACACACACACGCACACACGCTGAGCGCAGGACTCTGACCCCACGCACACCTGCACCATGACCCCCGGGCCTCCCGTCAGATCAGTGCCCATATCAAGTTCAGCAGAAAGCACCAGGGTTTCGTTCTCACCTCCTCCCATTTGATGAACTTCCCCCCCTTTTTGAGGGCTTCGTGGACGGACACGGGTTTGAGCTGGAGCGCGTGGACTCCCGGCTTGGCCCCGGCCATGGCGAGGGACTCCTACCCGGGTGCCAACGCCTAGACCCGCGCACAGCGAGCAGGACTGCTCGGGGGAGGGACAGCGTTGTCTCCCTGGCTCCGCTTCTTCTTCTTTCACAAACTACTCTTGTTTGTGTGTTTATTCCCCGGAAGAGTTGAGGCCGCGCGCTGTCCTTGAAAGTTACGCGGAGAGTTTGCGGAGCATGAGGAGCTGTAATCCCGCCGCAGGAGGCTCCAGACCCGGCTGATCCAGCGCTCAGCGCCGCTGTCTGGCTCTGGTCCGCGGTGCGGTGACGCGCACTCAGCTTTGATTCATTTATGAGTTGCTTTCCTTCCTCTAGGTCCTTTACTCTTCCTGCGCTGGAGCAGTTCCTCCCATCTGCTCCGCTTCCTTACTTTCTTGTCGCCTCTGAGGCGTTTCTTCTTTTCTCCTCCTCCTTGTCCTCCTCCTCTCCTCCCAGCATGTTTGAGGGGGGAAATAGATTCGGACGGCGTCAGATCGCGCTGGGTGACAGAGGAATGAGAGAAGTGTGCTGCACGGATCTGTAAAACACAAAACCTCCAGAGGAGCATGCCAAAGTCCCGAATCAGCCCTCGTTTATTAGTATTGTACTTCTGGCCATGCTTTAATCTGTCTGCACCACAGCCAGCTCATGTTTCAAGCATTTGGCGGGATTATGGTTTATTTTTCCCCTCCTGGTGGGAGAATTTCAAAGGAAACAAAACAAACAGAAATGTATGTTTCAAATGAGCACGTGGTACTACTGCCAGAGATGCAGCACGCTGCTTCTCACTGCTGCTGCCAGTGGCGTGTCCAGATCTTTTAAAATGGGGTGGCCCAAGTGAGGCACAACTTTGTGCATGGGTGGCACCAATGGTTATGCTTTTCTTGTTTTACCCCCAAGCCTTTTGTGGACAATGAAAAGCCTATTTAAAGGTAAATTAGTGTGGTGGCACCTGGGGTGGCCAATCAGATTCCAAGGGTGGCATGTGCCACCCCAGGCCACTCCCTGGACACGCCCCTGGCTGCTGCAGATGGATCAACGGCAGCTAATCAGTCATTCAAAAGGCTTTCACTTCCTCCTGCTTGTTTCTGCCATGGCTTTTTGCAAAACTTAGGTAAGAAAACAACTTGTGCACTTCCACCGGAGCGTGATCTGCAGTCATCTGCATATATTGTTGCTTTTGTTTGCTTGTTTGTTTTTGGCTGCGTGGTGGAACAGAAGGTAGCTCTGATGCCCAGACCTTTATGCGTGGAGTTTTGCATGAGTGGGCTTTCTGGTGTGTGTGAGTGAGTGTGTGACTGTCCCTGTGATAGTCTGGACACCTTTCCTGGGTGTGCCCCCTCTCACCTGATGACTGCTGGAGTGGGAATGAAGTGGTTAAAAAGGTGAGTGAGTGTTGGCATCAAAAGTGTCCAAAAATCCTCAAATTAAAACATAAATCTGGAGGTTTTTTTCTCAGAGGGCACCTCTAGAGGTGGTAAAATGTATTGCAGCTTAAGCCTGTCTCCCTACTTCCTTGATCACTGCTGGAAGGAATTCATCTCGTTTGTGAACACGCAGCCCTAGCCAGGACAACAAGGCTAAAACAATGTTCTACAATTCTCGTTCTCACGTGATGCTGTTTATTCACATATATACAAAATTCTCATCTCACACTCCGCGGATGGTCTCATCCTTCTAAGCTCGCGTTCTCTACCAGAAGCCCGGGAACTTGAGGGTTCTCCCATGGTGGGTATTGACTCTCATGGTTGCTCTTGCTCTTATAGCCAAGTGTTTCAAGGATCACTGCTCTCAAGGATATCAGCTCATAGGTTTCAGTGATGGTTGTTGTAGGAATCGTTCTCAGTGTTGCATTTGCATCTTCAAGGATTTCTGAATTCCATTCAAATTCAATTCAAAGATACTTTATTAATCCCAGAGGGAAATTAGAGTTTCAGTACACACAATTCAGAGATCAGACATACATAGGCATAGACACATGACAAGAATTGGTGACTGTGGTCTTTCGCAACCCTGAGTCGCGCTACCTTAATAGAGATCAGAGGGTTTATGTGAGGATTGGTTCAGGTGGAGGAAAAAAAGGTACTTCAGAGTTACCCTCCACAGGGAGGGCAGCTTTGCTATGCAAAAACACCTCAGACAGATATGCAACAGGAGTCAGACATTACATAACACAAGTGTCCACTAGGTGAGGAGGTAGGGTTGGGGACTCTCCACACGTCAGTGCAGGCAGCCGCGATAAGCAGCGCTCGTCACCTCCGTTTGGACAGGGGAGAGAGGTAGTTGGGATTAGAAAGCACAGTGACTCCTGGAAACGATTCAACGGCTTTCACCGGTCGCACTACCGCCCAGGCTGGGATAGGGAGACAGAGTCGCCATGGCATTCCACATTTCTTCTGAGGGGGAGTAATCACTTCAGCCTCACAGGCTCAAGGGCACCAGATTCAGATAAGAACTTGTTTTGGGGCCAGACAGAGATAATTTCCTCTCTGTCTTAAAGTTCTGTTGGTCCTCAACCCCTCTCAATCCAATAATGGTGTAATTAGTCTATCCCAATCCGTGCTGATATGTCAACTTTCTCCTTGATCGAATCCACCTTCTGTGCCAGAGTCTGAATCTCAGCCAAAGTTCCAAGCTTACAACTCATCTCGACAATTATACGACTTTGTGCCTTCACAGCGCGGTGTAATCCATCCCTGAGATCCGGGATTGAACCAATATTCATCGACAGCTCATTAATTTTCCGGTAAGCCAGATGACCACTCAGGCCCAAAAGCAAGAAACCTGACACCAACACCACAAATATCCAGACGTCTTAAGAATCCTCTACAGACAGTTGAGAGAGGCAGATCAGGTTCCACTGTTTCCAGGAGTCCATGATATGCCCAGCTGGCTCTGTCCCAGAGGGGCATCTGGGAGCCCCTTCTCCCATTCTCATCTTTGAAAGAATTTTTTCAATCGCGTTGAGAGACCAGCTGACCAGGTCCATTTTAATAATTTCCAGTTTCCAAAAAAAAATGCAGATTCTCCGTACACCCAAAGACAGAAAAAGAGCCTTGGGGATAAGATAGGGAGGAGAGGAGGAAAAAAGTTTCTGTACTCTCCAAAAGCCGGAAGAGAGAAGGTAATTCACTCAGCCGTTGTAGTTGGCGTCGGTGTTGTCTGGTGTTTATTTGTGTCATTATCCTATCTCTTAGGTCAGTTGCTGCCTCGTTTAGCGTTGTTTCACTTATTGGGGCTTCGTACCCAAGCTTGAGATTCACGATATTTTTATCAATAGCAGACTTTGAGGACAGCTACAAGTACCTTGGTATCCTACAAGCAAATCCAACCTCAATGATGCCGCAAGGAAAGGAGCCACAGCCAAATACCTACAACGAGTAAGGCAGTCCTAAGAAGTCGATGACAAGAACAAGATCTCCACAATAAGCATCTACACCCTGCCAGTAATCAGATATCATGCAGGAATAATAACCTGGCCAAAGGAAGAAATACAGACCAAAGATGTTAAGACACATTAGTTCCTAACCAGGCATGCAGGGTTCATCCCAAAACTCAGCACCCTGAGACTGTACGCTAAGGAAGGAGGCCGAGGACTAGTGAGAATGGGAGCCATCGTCCAGGATGAAACATCCAAGATCCATAAGTACACCAAGGACAAGGACCCAACAGATGATGTCCTCAGTGAATGTCTCAGACAACGGTGAATAGAGGAGGAAAAGCTGGAAATACCATCATGGGAGGACAAACCTCTACATGGGATGTGCCACTGACAGATAACTGAAGTTGCTGATATCCTACCAATGGCTAGAAAGAGCTGGTCTGAAGGACAGCACAGAGGCACTCATCGTGGCTGCACAGGAACGGGCCCTGAACACCAGAACAACAGAGGCCAAGATCTACCACACCAGACAAGACCCAAGGTGTAGGCTGTGCAAAGAGGCCCCTGAGACAATCCACCATGTAACTGCAGGGTGTGAGATGCTGGCAGGGAAAGCATACGTGGAACGCCACATCCAAGTGGGTGGCATCATGGACAGAAACATCTGTGCAGAGTATGGACTGGAAGCACCAGGGTCTAAGTGGGTAACACCCCCTAAGGTGGTAGAGAACGAGAGAGCCAAGCTCCTGTGGGGCTTCCAGATCTAGACCGACAAAAGGGTGATGGAGAACCAACCAGACGTTGTGATGGTGGACAAACAACAGAGGACAGCTGTTGTGGTTGATGTGGCGATACCAAGTGATGGCAACATCAGGAAAAAGGAACACAAGAAACTAGGGAGTTACCAGGGCCTCATAGAAGAACTCCATATCAGTCTAGGTCAATTCTGCGCCTCGAGGACCGGTATCCAGCATGTTTTAGTGGTTTCTCTAATCCGACACACTAGATTCAGTGGTTAAATCGCCTTTACAGCAGCTCATCAGGCTCCGCAGAAGCCTGTTAATCACCCACTAATTTAAATCAGGTGTGTTTAAGCAGGGTTAAAACCAAAACGTGCTGAAAACAAGCCCTCGAGGCCCGGAATTGGATAGCTCTAGTTTCTACCATAAACATGCACGTCCACTCTGTGACTGGCATCTGCACGAAATGTCTAATGCTATTGGCTAATGCTGAACGGCACTCAACTCAAAGTGCATGGGGCTCTAGGACAAGGGTCGAGCTTAGCCAATGAACGTAACAGTACAGGGTAAGACTAATACTTTTACCGATTTCTAAAAATTCATATATCATTCCTGAAAGAGGGAAACTCCAGATTGTTGCTTTCAATGTCTTTGTTGGCCACAAAAATGTAAATTTAGTTAATTTTTTTAAAAGGCAAAACATAAAGGTAAAATAAAAGAAAGTATGTTATTAAAAGAGCTCAGAGCAGATTTACAGAAGACATTGCGCCACTTGACATGTTAAAATCAAGCTCCAGAGTGTTTTTCTCCGTATTTTATAGTTTCCCTTTAATCATCATGCCAAAAAATAAGCGTTAAAGGTGTGGTTCACTCATACATTTGCAGAGGTCTAGTAGGAATGAATACCGTCGTACTCTGGGGGTAAAAGCCCAGAAGCGCCTGCATCAGCACAGAGAATTCAGCTGGAGGACAAAGTAGCTTAAAACGACCGGATTTAAAGTCTTATTTCCTGATATTTGGATATCTCCCCTCTGATTGGATAACAGCAACACAACTTACCACTGACTCCATTTGCTCTGCAATGTTGATTTTTTTTTACCTCCACAAATAACACAAGCCTGAAGGAGTTCTGCTGTGTGGTGGAGTTGCTAATGCTAGCAGTTAGCTTCTACTAGCTGAGATGTTCTCTGCTCTTTCCTGGAAGCTAAACCAACAACGACGTGAGGCAAGATGGACGAGTCCATGAATGTTAGTGACAGGGTGACGTAGATCTGTCAGGATCTTCTAATCCTAGAGTTTCACCGTCTGTTTTCTATCAGAAGCTACTGCAGGAGATAGGTGTAGGAGACTATTTTCATGT